GTGCAAATTGTGAGAATGCAAATGTACGAGGTTCGTCTCTGAGCCGGGAACAAGCACAAGGCGGTTGCTTGTTGGAGAGAGAAAAAATCGTTTCCGAGAGCCAGATACCCAACACATACACAACACGGCTCAGCTTTCAGGGTGGCAGCATCGGGGCCTCCCAGCAATCCCCTTTGGTGGGGAAGATCCTTAAAGGGTCCGAAGGAAAACCCACCCTCTGGGATTCCTTATAAAAGGTATTTAGCTGGGATTCCGGGGGCGGGGGCGTTCTGGGGAGGGTGAACTTGAGTAGATCTTTAGAAGGGAGAGGTCTAAGGCCAGATGCCTTACTGAGCTGGCATTTCCTGTCTTTTCCTAATCAGGAAATTGTCTAATTGGAACGAAGATCTCTTCAGGAAGAAATCTTTTTATGGTTCAAATTTTTTTGGTTTAAGGAATGTTGGCCCTTCCTGCCAGGTCTTTAGTTATTTAATTTTGGGCTAGGGTGGAAGACTCTTCATTCTTTCTCTTACATCTTAATCTTTTTAGGTGAGCCCATTTTTCCTGTAATTGAGAAATAGTCTTTGAGTCCTTTTTAAGATAGAATAAGGTAGGGTGAGACAAATGGGAAGCTTTGACTTCGTGCTGACATGGTGCAGGTGGTGGGTAAGTAAATTTGATTTACTTCTCAAACAAACATGAAAACAAACCAAGAACATCCACCAACCCCCCCGAATGCAAAAAGTGAGGTATTTGAGGGAAGCAAAATTGTTCACTCAGAGAAAAAGAGAAGCAGAAAGAAGAGAAGCAAGGACACAGTAAGCATTTAACTCTCTTCAGGGAATTTGGCCTCTTTATTGTTTCAAAGCCCCATCCCCTCTCTCGTCCTCCCCACTGGCCTCACTCACTCCATGATGTGCCACAGCCACACCAATGGCTAGTTGCTCTACCCAATGACTTATATCTTCTCATTTACCCAAGGGAATAATTAGGGACTGTCTCCTCTCACCCCACCCCACTTTAGCCTTGTCTTTCCCTCAAGCAACATATTTCCTTTTCAGTGCCTACATGTCCTGCTCACCACCCTGGAGACTTCTCTTATATTGTCCGTGATATGCACACATCCAAAACTGTGGATGAATCAACCTGGATAGCAGCTCTGAACACAGGAGGTTTTCT